CCGCCGGCCCCGTTCCAACCGAACCGGTTGGAACGGGGCGAGAACCCCACCCCTGCTGCAACTGTTGGAGGCACCATAGTCCATTCAACAGTTGAGGGTACCATACACTTTTCTTGCCCGTGTGCTTTATGTTGTAACCTTCATATGATTTGCCCAGCTCTAATACCCATTTGTTGATTTTTAAAACTGTAAGCCATGCCTAAAACATGGTAGGTTTTTCAAAGTCTATAAGAGCGTCTCTCCCGTTTTTAATAGTTCCAACATCTGGAGCTGTTTCTACATCTCCAGTCAAAAATCGGTGCAGTTACGTGCAAATGAATAGTGTTTTCTTCCCCGCCCCTCTTTTAAACAAAGATTTTTTTTTATTTTTGCATATTTAAAATTCTTTTGTAAACAGAGTGCTGTCCGGTTTCCCCACGTTAACATTTTCACATATACATAATTCATTTTACATTCTATTTCCATTTCCCATTTTAGCTGTATTGTTTTCCTCCCATATTTCCCCAACTTAAAAAAAAAAATTATATACCTAAAGCATTTCATTTCTATCCCTTTAGAAATAAACCAAATTTATCATTTCCTTTCCATCTATTTTCTGTAAGTAACATATATCTTCAAACTCAGTATTGCGTATAATCAACATTTTACTTAATAATTTGCACAGTTAATAATGTTAGTATAGTTCAATCACTTCTTTATTAGCTACATACCATTACCATGATTAACATATTTCATTTTATTTTACTAATCCCCTGTTCCTAGTTTCTTCCCCCTACCTCTTTTTCTTCTTTTTATATGTATTATTTTGTTTCTTCTGGATCTTTTCTCTCACTTTTCGATAGATTTTTGGGATAACCCTCCCCAGGATTTTTCTTTTTCGCTTCCCACTATTTCTCTCTTTATTTTTGGCTAATTTCTTTTTTTTGGGATTCCATTTATGGAATGAAATGGAAATTAAATGAAAATAAAAACCAGTTAGACAATACAGTTGAGATTTACAGAGGCATAGAAAGAGCAGAGAGGAAAAAAGGAAAATGGAATCCAAATGAATAATGTTTTCTAAGTCCTTCTCCTTTCTCCCATTTTTTTGTAGATTATTATGGGAGTGATCCTGCTCTACTATTTACTCGGAAAGAGTGCGGTGGTGGGGGCGGCTGTGATTTTACTGTTGGCTCCCATCCAATATTTCATTGCAACCAAGTTGGCCGAGGCCCAAAAAAGTACTCTTGTAAGTTGTTCTTGTTTCATTTTATTTGGGTTTTAATATGAGCTGTCAAAAGTTGTTCTTCTTGAACCAGAGCACATGTGTCACGGAAATTTGTCTTAGTCTCTGATGGGTTCAGCTCCAAGTGGGGAAAAAGACACTGGAGACATGGAGGCTGCTTGGAAAGATGGTTTATTGTTGGACAGG